CAAGGATATTAACACCACAGGCACAGCAACTTACATCCTGTCAGCATACCAGGGATGGAATGTGAGTGAGCATAGATGCAAGGATATTAACACCACAGGCACAGCAACTTACAGCCTGTCAGCACACCAAGAATGGAATGTGAGTGAGCATGGATGCAAGGACACCAACACCACAGGCACAACAACTTACACCCTGTCAACACACCAGGAATGGAATGTGAGTGAGCATGGATGCAAGAACACCAACACCACAGGCACAGCAACTTACAAGCTGTCAGCACACCAGGAATGGAATGTGAGTGAGTGTGGATCCAAGGACACCAACACCACAGGCACAGCAACTTACAGCCTGTCAGCACACCAGGAATGGAATGTGAGTGAGCATGGGTGTAAGAACATCAACACCACAAGCACAGCAACTTACAGCCTGTCAGCACACCAGGAATGGAATGTGAGTGAGCATGGGTGCAAGGACACCAACACCACAAGCACAGCAACTTACAGCCTGTCAGCACACCAGGAATGGAATGTGAGTGAGCATGGATGCAAGGACACCAACACCACGGGCACTGCAACTTACATCCTGTCAGCACACCAGGAATGGAATGTGAGTGAGCATGGATCCAAGGACACCAACACCACAGGCACAGCAACTTACAGCCTGTCAGCACACCAGGGATGGAATGTGAGTGAGCATGGATGCAAGGACACCAACACCACAGGCACAGCAACTTACAAGCTGTCAGCACACCAGGGATGGAATGTGAGTGAGCATGGATCCAAGGACACCAACACCACAGGCACAGCAACTTACAACCTATCAGCACAGCAGGAATGGAATGTGAATGAGCATGGATGCAAGGACACCAACCCTTCAGGCACAGCAACTTACATCCTGTCAGCACACCAGGAATGGAATGTGAGTGAGCATGGGGATGCAAGGACACCAACACCATAGGCACAGCAACTTACAGCCTGTCAACACACCAGGAATGGAATGTGAGTGAGCATGGATGCAAGGACACCAACACCACAGGCACAGCAACTTACATACTGTCAGCACACCAGGAATGGAATGTGAGTGAGCATGAATGCAAGGACACCAACACCATCAGCACAGCAACAACTTACAACCTATGTATGTGAAGCCAATGCAATGAAACATCCATTGTGTAACTGTCATGCTTACCAAAATGTGTGGAAACCACACAGCCAATTTTGATTGAAATGCCCAACCAGCATTCCCATGAACTTCATAGTGTTTGTCTTTTTTCTCCAGCAATTCCAGCAATGCTCTAAAGTGAACTTTGTCAATATTGTTGTAAGATGAATGATTTTCTACTACTTTCCTGCTTACTGCATACTGGACACAAATCTGCAGGTTGACCTGCTGAGCAGAAACTAACAATGTTTCCAACACCTCATCATGCAGTGCCTCTGCAGTGCAGCATATGAGTGCAGTACAATCTGCCTCCTCTTTCTCCATCCCTTCAACCATACAGTTTGATTTTATTCTATATCCAGCAATTATTTACTACTCACCACCAATGCATACAAAATTCTTTGGAGGAAACTCTTTTTCCTGCAGCATCCCATAGTAGTTATTCTCCTGGAAGATTTGTTCTGCAACTTTCGGAGCCATAGCTGCTGCTTCTCGTATCCCCTTGCCTTGCTCTCGAAGCTTACCAAAGGCAATTGCATGGAGTGCATCAAATTTCGTGAAGATGGCAATTAACGGCACTGGTACCAAGCTCAGTATACCACTTAGACCACATATTTTTCTTACCCTTCCCAGTACCACACTTCGAGAAGAAGGTTTCCTCTGCCACAGTAATTGGCCTGGAATGTTCATTCATCGGAATGCAATACCTATGTTGAACAACATCAGCACATTCACCAAGTGGTGATAATATGTGACTTGAACCATATAGCATGCAATTGCCTGATTAGCTTCTGTTCCTTCGCACATTCTTCGATGAATGATTGAACCTTCTTGAGTTCGTCCTCGCCACCAGCCTCGAAACCACGGGAGTCATGGAAAACGAAACGGTCATTGCTTCTGAATGAAATTTCATGTTCTATGTCATGCTCGCCACGCTGCCTCTCGTTGTCCGGAATCGTGTATGGTGAGATATGTGAAGACTCACCCCTTCGGTTCCCTTCACAACGGTGTCGACCTAAAGGGATCGGTCAGTGGACAATGCACCATTTATGAAAAAGAGAATCCATGGTAACCTTTTTACCATTCCGATCACGGACGATTGGGGATTCGGTCGTTTTGCAGACCCTATGTAGGAGCGTGGTTTTACCAGCATTGGCTCGTCCGATAACGAGGATCCGAAATCGCGGGAACTTCTCCCTGACGGTATCAGCGCGGTCGGACATGGCTCGAGTATGGCGGAAGTCGATAATGAGATTTCTGTAGGATTATGGGATGGGTCGTGATGTGAGGAGCGAAGAGAGAGGCGAGGGAAACCTGAAGACTGGATTCTGTGGACACGGTGTTCACATGCCCGCTCTTCCACGGAAATAGAACGTGGACGCAGCTGTCCAAATGGGTCTTGGACGGCGTTCCGCCGTCTGCGTGCGTGGGCACGAGCTGGTCATAGCCCTATCAGGATATATGAGATCAGCTAGTCATCCGAGCGGAAGCACGCGGCGACCTCGTACTTGGTGCCCACTCGCAAATCCAGTGCTTCGGAAACGCACTGTCCTCCGCCATAAATACGATCACATGCAGCTGCGGGTCATTAGGAAGTTGGTCACAAAAGTTTCAAAGGGAGGAAACCGGCTACTTGCACGACTCTCACCTGTGGCGTTTAATAATAGACGAAAATTCCACTGAGACGGTAAAGATATCCTAATTGCGGAATTGCACTAGAACAACCTTGGCTGCCTCGTGTAGCCCACTCGGCGATACGAAATGAACTGCTACGTGTTCCTGTCAGACTGGTCAGGTGGGGGAAAATGTATATGGGAATCTTCCGAACCCTGTCAAACCTCCAAAGAAATCACAGAGCCCGACTTATAGGGATCCCCTACGGTGGGGTAACCAACGGGTGCGAGGCAACTAGTCTAAGTAGTAATCAATAGTAGTAATCGCTTGAGGCGATAGTACTACGTTGCTAAGGCGAGGTTGATTACGTATATCTACATCCAGCTCAGACGAAGAGTGAGCTGCCTTTTCAGAGCGAGCTGCCTTTTCAGAGCTCATGATTTCGACTGCTCCCGATTCCTCCAATTCCTCATCACAGGCAGCCAAAAAACTAGCCAAGTCCAAACTTGGTGCCCCTTCTCAGCTTTCGCAATCAAGTCGCAAAGGAAAGCGAGCATGGAGAAAGAACATTGATATCCAGCCTGTCGATGAAGGGCTAGAGAGCCTTCGAGCAGAGGAGCGGGTCGTTGGGTGAGTGAGATCCAGAGGTGCCATCCAATTCTACTCGGACGCTGATACACCGTATCGCGCAGCTCAATATTACAAAAACAGACGGACGACCAACTGTTCGTTGTCGATACCAAAGGCGACGACCAAGGTGCGTTTGCGATCGACATCCTTTCTGACCTAACCCTAACTGTTGAATTCGACTCCAGTTCGAAAATCGTTGCCTCGGTATTCAAAGTCGCAACTGATGTCCACCAAAATACTCTTGCAACGATCTGCCGTGCCTGCTGTCGCATCACGCGCAACGAAATCGTCCGTAATGAAAATTTCTCGCGCAGACAAGGAGAGACTGCTACGGATTGCGAAGCGTCCCCGAAGAGGGCCGTTCAATGCCATCATGGATCCGACCGAATTCGGTGCAGGGAGTGCTACCATCGACGTCTCCTATGCCGTCAAGCATAGTGGAGCACACGACCTATGGGACGTACCGATTGTCGAAGAAATTGTACCAAGCGGACTAGAGACAGTTCAAAAACGCACGATTAAGGTAGGGTAACTGTCTCACTCCTGGTTATCGAGTCACGAACGTGGTTTGTCAATATGATGACAGAGACCCGATGTCGACCACCCCCGAGATGTGATCGACGTGCCTGCCGTGTCTGTTCCTCATCCAGGCGCCTCTTACAATCCACCAGTACAGGCACACGAAGAACTCCTCATGGACGCATACAAAGTCGAGCAACGGAAACAAGATGAGGCTGATCGTCTCCTGGAGGCTCGAAAGAAAATAGAAGAGGCCTGCGCATTCGCTGCTGATAGCAATACGGAAGGTGTGCCCGCTGGGATGGTCATTGACCAGATCAAGGACGACGATGAGACCGTCACCAATACACCCGCTGTTGTACCAAAAAGACTACCTACGAAGAAAACCAAACAACAGCGTGCCCGCATCGCGAAGCAGAAAGTAGTGGTTCGTGTCAGAAAGTCCTCATCGTGACATTGACTGACAGTAATGACCAAAGAAACACGCATTGGCCGAGAAAGCCATCCGAAAACGCCTGCTCAACTCGATCAACCAAGTCAAGGCATTCCGTTCCGACATTTCCAAGCTCACGGATACCCAACAGCAAGCTCGTCTAGCACGACAACTCGCGCTTCGGCTGAAACTACGAAAAGGCCTTGCTGGCCAACGACTTGGAAAACATCGGGTTCCTGAAAACGATATCGAGGTGCAAATCGGAGAGGATCTGAGCGAGAGCCTCAGGAACCTCAAGGTACGGGACTGGTGATTATGAATGTATGTTCTTTTGCTGATGCGGCATTGGGTAGCCTGAAGGAAACTTGTTCCGCGATCGTTTTGTGAGCCTTCAACAACGCGCACTGATTGAGCCACGTGTTCCTGTACTGTGAGAAGTGCTTCCTTTCTCCCGTGAACTCCCGCTAAGATACCATTTTGTAGACCGACGAGACGCAAAGCAAAGCCGAAGGAGTACGAGAAGCATGCATGGAAACGTTTTGAGTAGTTACACCGACTGCCCCTAGACACCACATGTTTCCCATGACTGGCTGAACGCAGACCAAAAAAAAAAGATCCATGCAGCGATAGAATAAAAATCTATGGACACTGTGGGAGTTGAACCCACGACCTCACGCAATTTTCGATGCGAAGCGTGCGCGCTACCAACTGTGCCAAGTGCCCTCACAAACTGGAGCTGAGGGGGGGCGGACCACGACCAATTTAGAAATCCGACACTCCTAACCTGCGCCGAGAGTCCTTTGGACCTAGCCAACATGATGGACGTTGACCCGATCGATTCTGAAATTGCGAACCAATATACACAACCACCGCGACGACGACAAGCTCGTCCCGTCGACGATGCTCATCCCTTTGATCTCGACGCCTACATCGCGAGTTACACAGGCAAGTCCAATCACGACCCGACGTCGTAGTCACGCTCATTGACCGTACAACAGGTCGGACAACGGTAGACAGACTGCTCGCCATCACCGCCTCTTGTCCCTCCATCGCCCCACAAGCGCTGAAACTCGCGTTCAACCACATTTACCGTCTTCGCGATACCTCGCTCGTCCAGGCGGCCTTAGCGGCATACGCGAGCGCCGCAACATATCCCGAGGGCCAGGGATTGCCACCCCCTGGAGATGTCGTGGTCGTGGATGCTGCATGGGTCGAGGAAGTAACCAAAAAGAACTTGGCCGAACGGACGAAATTGGAGGTCGAGCTCAAGTCGTATACAAACAACATGATCAAGGAGAGCATACGGGTGCGTTGGATGTGTTTCCGTGCGCGATTGGACAGTCATTCACGATGGCACAGATGGCGCATAGAGATCTAGGAGAGCACTACCGCGCCACTGGCGACTTTGCTTCGGCATTGAAACATTTGACGAAATCGCGCGAATTTTGTTCGACCAGTCAGCACGTACTGGACATGTGTCCTTTCGGTTCTCGAGGTATGTTGTACTATTACAAGCTTTGCCATGCCCGTGGAGATGATCGATCGCGTTTGTAGCTCGTGATCGAGCAACGAAACTATTCGCATATCTCGTCGTATATTTACAAGGCAGACGCGGCCTTGGAAAGTACAACAGCAGCAACTTCTGGTAGTGCAGAGGGCGCAGCGACTGCTGTCTCGGCTCAACCCACGTCCAAGAAACCAAGCCCTGAGCGCGAGCAGGTGCAATCAAAACTCGATTTTGCCATGGCTCTGTCGCATCTTGGACAGGGTAATTACGAGAAAGCGGCCTCCCTATTCTTACGACTCGATCCCCCAGATCAACTCGGCGATTGGGTTGGCAAGGTGGGGCTGCAATCTTTGTAGTTTGTGTACATGACTGAGGTCCCCAATCACATAGCTCGTTGCACCAGGTGATATTGCCATCTACGGTACCCTCTGTGCACTTGCGAGCCTGTCTCGCTCTGCTATCAAGGCGCAGCTTCTCCGAAACCCTGTTTTCTCCGCATACATTGAGCAAGAACCATACGTTCGTGACGTTATACAAGCATACATGTCTAGCGATTTCAAAACGACACTGGATATCCTCTCCAAATATTCGGTGAGATCCCCCTTTTTTATACTATAATTATTTAGTAAATTAAATTTCTTTCTTCTTATCTTATCTGGGCCGACGCTGTGTCTGTGTCTGGAATAGACGAGACATTACATAGACATACACCTTGGAACCCACGTGAACGATGTCACTCAACATTTGAGGCAAACGGCCGTCGTACTCTACTTCCAGCCATTCGAGACAATTCGCTTTGACCGCATGGCAGCGGCGTTTGGTTGGAGCATCGAGGAGGTCGAACGGGAAGTCGTTGCGCTCATCCAGATTGGCCAAATCCAGGGACGCGTGGACAGCCAGAACAAGGTAATGATTCATTTGATCACGACACTGGCGAGCTTGCATGATCCATCCATTTCCTTTATAGATCCTCAGGGCAAAGAAGACGGACCATCGCGCGGAACTGTTTGAGCATGCTATGAAGACGGCGTTGGATATTCAGAGTACTAATCGAAAATTGCTTTTGCGAATGCGTCTGTGAGTCTCGACATGTTTTTGTGGTTTTTTCTCTTGGCTCATTTCGTCTGTGTAGACAACAAGTAGACTTGGTAGTCAAGAGTCCCAAGATAACGTTGAAACGAGATCAAACCCAGAACCTGCTTGACTCTCCCATGGCCATCGTAGATCTCAGTTGAGATGGAAAGATTACTTCACCTCCCTATTGTGTCATACAGCGAAAACCAGAGATACAAAGAGAGATGGTCAATCAGCATGTGCAGCGAGATACAACAAATGTATAAATTACAGCTACGGGTCCCCAAAATACTCGTTCACCAGTGCCTCTTTCTGTAGTTGGAGCAGTACACCTTCCATCTCCTCCCTTGTTGGCATTTTGGGTGGTAAGAGGTCCTCTGTTGAGAGGAACGAGATATGGGACGCTGCTAGCTGAGCGTGGGCTTGCATCGAAGTTGGTGCAGGGGTTGGTATGACTGCCTGTTGGGTCACGTCTGTCTTTGAAGACTTGGGCCGTTTGGTGTTTTCTGGTGATGGGTCCTCCTCACTTGCCATGTTGGCATTACCATCGGCTTTCCGCTTTGCACCACCGGTCGTTGACGAGGCATCAGACAGTGTATCGGATGGTGTAATAGTTGTGGGCTGCTTGGGACATCGAGGAAGGTCGGGTATGGGATCGTCCGTCGGGATCTCGAGCGCCTCGCGAATTCGCCGCTGTGCCTCCCGCCATTCCGCCTCCTCTGCCTCCCGCTCATAGTCGATCAACTCATTCCCCGACTGTGTCTCATCCAAATCGCCAAAGTACGCTGGTCCTTGATGCATAAACTTTTTGTAGTAAGCCAGAGCTTGGTTTTCTTCTTCCTCCTCTTTTTTTCGACTTTGGAAGAGTTCGCGGACGCCCGGGAGGTCTTTGGCGCGACCAAAGTATCTAGTTATGATTATAAGCAAGGTGAGTGGAGGAAAGGAAAGGGGAGAGGGGACGTACTTGTAGCCTTTGGTACCGGGTACTTCCTTCCCGTCGTCGTCCAGCATGGCGACGTTTCGTCTGTAATTCGCACCTCCGAGCGAGATAATTTGGTTCTCCCAATGTCGTTTTTCGCGCAAGAGCTTGTTGATCTCGTCATTTACATCTCGTACTTCATAGTCGGTAAGACCAGCTGTAAAGATGTGAGCTGAACAGAAGCAAACACAAGTCGGGTGAGTACGTACAATCCTGGATCTTGGACACCTTTCTGCTAATTTCGCGAAGGATCTCTCCTCTCCAGCGTTCGCATTCACGTAGGCTTTTACATGCGCTGGCCATCTTGGGCCGTTTGTCTCCGCGAGTACCGAGGCCCAGCTCTGCCGCTTGGGCTTCGCGGAAACGATAGAGCATAGACTGCGCCTTTTCTTCATTACGCGCCTAATGAGAGTCTCGTCAGTGTCTCTCAATTTCTTGAAGCAAGACATGGACGTACCATGGTGGTGTAGTGGAGGTATGTGTGGAAGATGTCTGACTCGAGACGTTTGTTTGGCAAGAGCGTTAGAAACAAACAAAGCCACGTGGGTCGATAGCCCGTATCGTTCCTTTCCGAATACCTTGGCGTGTACGATGTCGCCTCAATTCACGGAAGAAGACATTGCAGAAGAACAAATTCACTTTTCAAACGTCGTCGCTACATTCCAACAATACGCTCAGTACTCGGTAAATTGAACTTCTTTGTTCAGGTTACAGTCATGTATTGACCTCTTGACCGTACTTTTGGTTGCCATCATTCACAGCTGACCGCCAACAATCGTCGCCGAAAGGATCTTTATAGACTTCCCTCACGCAGACAAGGTCTTGCTCGATTCGATAGGCTACAGACGCAAACTCCAAGCGATCGACGCCGCCATCCTCGCCAACGCCGATTTTTTGCGTAACATCGTCGCGAATCCAGAGATATTCGGACATGGTGTTGATGTAGTCGCGGCGGAGGACGGTGGAGTGGACGGGGACGTGACGTTGGAGGATTCGGAGCGACGGCCATCTGGATTCCAGGGACAAGGTAGGATGAGTCGAAATACACGTCGCTTTTCACACACTTATATAGTTGACACTTTTCTTCAGGTGATGATGAACCCCGTGTGCATAATTACTCTCATGACCACCCCAACGGTGCGAAAACGACGGATCCTAGGAGACGACAGGGACAGGGACACGCGAGGTACATAGCAACCGACTTCGACATGGACAAGTTGAGGAGCACGCTCAAGCAGTTTGTTCGCGATTGGAGTGAAGACGTGCGTGTTTGCATGAATCGCCATCTGTTTGCCATCAGTCATGGATTCGTCACCAGGGGAAGGCCGAGCGTGATTTGTGCTACGAGCCGATGAAAAGTGCCTTGGAGGGATCTTTCGAGGGTCGAGACAGGTTTCATCAACTTTCTGGTGGGGATGGAGTTGTTGCTGACTTCACCATTCCAGGCAAACGATCCGAGTACTCGTCCCAGGGGCAGGTCTGGGCAGATTGGCATATGACGTAGCGAAGCTTGGTTGAACACAGCACTATCCATACTCGAGGCACAAGACTGACCCCGATGCCAGGCTTTGCTTGTCAAGGAAACGAATTCTCTCATTACATGCTTCTCTCCTCATACCTCATCCTCAATAGGTACGCATCCGAGCTTGCTACAACTGACACACCTAACGGATGACCAAGGACCGAGTCAATCGGGGAACACACCATATACCCTTACATCCACTCCTTTTCAAACATCCCCTCCAAGGAGGCACTGCTTCGCCCTGTAAACATACCTGACGTACTCCCCGATTTGCCACCCGGATCCGACTTTTCCTTGGTAGCTGGTATGAGCTCGCCCTTCTTCCGTTTGTATCCCCCCTTCTTACACCCACGCGCCAGGCGACTTTGAGGAGGTCTATGGCGCTGAAGCCACGGATGTCAGCGAGCCGCATGCCGGACAATGGGATGCTGTACTCACCTGTTTTTTCATCGATACCGTAAGGGCCCATCCAGACTTGTCCTAAAACACATTATCCAACCCGGTCCTTGATCTGATCCCAGGCCAAGAACATCGTGAACTATCTTCGTGTCATCCATCGCATCCTCGCGCCTGGTGGCGTTTGGATCAATCTCGGTATATGCGCCTTTTCTTGAAGACCCGTTCGAGCACCGCCTTACTTG